CCTCCCAGCACTGTGTGCATCTCAAAATTATTATTGCAAGTGCCTTCATGAAAGGTACGGCTTCCTGTTTGGTTGCCATGGACACCATGCGGGCCAAGACAAGGCCTGCTTGGGAAGGGGAAGGGAAGATTTGTGTGTGCGGGCTGCAAATAGTCTTAATCATTGTTTTCTCTTGGCAATCCCAGTAACGGGGTAATTATCAACCATTAAGCAGGGTATATAATTGTCTGAGCAACTTGACTTGTTGGGGGCTTGAGAGACTTCAGCTGCTAAAGCAGGTTTACCAGGGTCCGCAGGGGGTTTCACGATGACCGTTACCAGGCAGACAGAGAGCTCTCCCTGCTTCCTCTCCGGGCTGGGAAATCACAGCTCCCCTTACCGAGAGGCCTGCAGGCACCTGGGGAACCTTTGGGACCCCCAAGACTGCTAGGCAGGAGCCCTGTGTCCGTGGAGCCATTTTCTAAAACCGGACTCTCTCTGTGGGCCTTTCCTACGTCCCGGACAAAGAGACCAAAGCTTCCAGGATGTCCCCCGGGGACTCTGAGCTTCCCCCGGGGCGGCGTGAGGGATGCTCCTTTGAACTGCAAAGGAAAGTGGTGATGAAGCACAAGGTAGAGCAAATTGAGTCATTTGGGGAGGAGGGAAGAGAGGGCTCAGCGAGACATCTGCTTAATGTCAGTTTTAGAAGAACGAGCCTCTCCCCTGAAACACCTTGGTTTCAAACCAATTGATGTTATTTTAGTTGTTACATGGATTCTGCGGCAGAAATAGAATCCAACGGCACATCCTCCAGGCTTCCCTCCTCCATTTGTCACTTTCGTTTATGTCTTCTTTTCTTTTCTGCTCCTTCAGTGAAGAACACCTCATACTTTCCCCCTGGGGAGACTCGTCTTTCCAGAGTCTAAGGTTTTCCAGCTGGAAAATGTGTCCTGGAAACAAGAAGTGGGAGGAGCCGTGTAGCGGAGCCTGGGTCTCTGATTTGGGTCCAAATCCATAGATGAGTTAGGCCTGTTCATTGTTCATCCCCTGCCAGCCTCTCTCTCTCTCTCTCTCCTCACTCACTCCTGTGCTCATCATGTACCCTGGACAGTGTGATCTCATTAGAGGTGGACCCTACCTCCTCCTCCCACCCTCCCGTGGAAATAGGAGTTAGAGAAGGCCCAGGGAATCCAGCTGGTGTCAACTGTGATTCAGGGCTTGGCACATCTGAAGGCAACAGTCTGAGTCATGGATTATCTCCACAGTCTGACCCCATGGAAGTCAGCCCAGCAGCTGCTGGCCCTTTTCTGTCTGCCCCCGTCCATCCTCTCCTTGCACGCCCCCCTCTGTCCGCCAGCCGTTTCTGAGATTCCCCGCTAGGACAGCGTGCACTGTCACACCCCCAAATCAGCCCAAGTCCTTGGCAATTTCTCTCTTAACACCGACCCACGTCGCTGCCGCATCCCACAAGGATCCCCAGGCCGCCACTGCGGGAACCTCAGACTGATAAGCTGTGAGTAAAAAGGCTCATGAGCCCCCAAAGGAACATAAGTGATCATTATGCCACTTAGAGTGAGCACCACAGCAGGGAGGGGGTCCCCCAACACTGGCTTTATTCCCTCTGAAGAGCCAGAGTTGACCATTAACTTTGACTCAAGCCTTCGGCTCCTTGTTCTTCCGGCCTTCCTTCCTCAGTCCCACCGGCCTGTCCCTTATTCTGACGCCTCTACTTCATCCTTTCCT